TTCGCTTTTTTTGCAACAGTGTTACACTGTTCACTCATATTTAGCATGTGGTCCACTATGACCCCCAGATCCCGTTCTGCAGTACTCCTTCCTAGGCAGTCATTTCCCATTTGGTATGTGTGCAACTGATTTGAATTTCATCCTATTTACTTCAGACCATTTCTCCAGTTTGTCCAGATCATTTTGAATTTTAATCCTATCCTCCAAAGCACTTGCAACCCACCCCTCCCAGCTTGGTATCATCCACAAACTTCATAAGTGTACTCTCTATGCCTTTATCTAAATCACTGATGAAGATATTGAATAGAACCGGACCCAAAACTGATCCCTGCGGGACCCCACTCATTATGTCCTTCCAGCATGACTGTGAACCACTGATAACTACTCTCTGGGAACGGTTTTCCAACCAGTTTTGCACCCACCCTGTAGTAGCTCCATCTAGGTTGCATTTCCCTAGTTTATTTATGAGAAGGTCATGTGAGACAGTATCAAAACCTTTACTAAAGTCAAGATATTTCACATATACCACTTCCCCCCCATCCACAAGTTGTGTTACCCTGTCAAAGAAAGCTATCAGGTTGGTTTGACACGATTTGTTCTTGACAAATCCATGCTGACTGCTACTTATCACATTATCTTCTAGGTATTTGCAAATTGGTTGCTTAATTATTTACTCCATTATCTTTGAGTACAGAAATTAAGCTGACTGGTCTGTAATTCCCTGGGTTGTCCTTATTTCCCTTTTTATAGATGAGCACTACATTTGTCCTTTTCCAGTCTTCTGGAATCGCTCCCGTCTTCCACGACTTTTCAAAGATGATAGCTAATGGCTCAGATATCTCCTCAGTGAGCTCCTTGAGTATTCTAGGATGCATTTCATCAGGGCCTGGTGACTTGAAGACATCTACTTTATCGAAGTAATATTTAACTTGTTCTTTCCCTATTTTAGCCTCTTCTGATCGTATCTTATTTTCACTGATATTCACTATGTTAGACATCCAATCACTGCCAACCTTCTTGGTGAAAACCGAAACAAAGAAGTCATAAAGCACCTCTGCCATTTCCACATTTTCTGTTATTGTTTTTCCCCCTTCATTGAGTAATGGTCCTACCCCATCCTTGGTCTTCCTCTTGCTTCTAATGTATTTGTAGAATGTTTTCTTGTTACCCTTTATGTCTCTAGCTAGTTTGATCTAGTTTTGTGCCTTGGTCTTTCTAATTTTATCCCTACACACTTGTGTTATTTGTTTATATTCATCCTTTATAATCTGATCTAGTTTCCACTTTTTGTAGAACTCTTTTTTGATTTTTAGATCATTGATGATCTCCTGGTTAAGCCAGGGTGGTCTCTTGCCATACTTCCTATCTTTCCTACGCATGTTAAAGTTAAGTGTGTTATACTTTTGTTATATATGTTACCTGTTATTCTTATTACCTGTGCTCACTATCTTTTAGTGTTTCCCTTAGTTAATAAACTTACATTTGATTTTACTATAGATTACAGTTCTGTGTTATATTGGAGCTGATACTTAGTTGAATCAAACAAGGGGTGGGTGTGTGCGCGCGTGTGTGGGTGTGTACCCTATTCCCTTGGGAGTAGTGAACCTGGTAATTACTGTGACTGTCCAGCGACAGGGACTGGATGCTACAGGGAATGCTTTGGAGTGGCTTGGGAGTTGGGGTGCGCCTATTTTTAACCTGCAAGGCGAAGTAGGGGCTGATAGAGCCTTGGGGAGTGTGTTTGAGTGGCTGAAGGGCTGACATCCCAAGCAGGGACTTAACATCCAGCTACCATAAGAAACTCCCTCACGCTGGTGGCAGGGGAGTAAGTAGTGACTTGCAAACCCCCTAAAAGTGTCACACACTGATCAAACTATGCATAAGCCTTCTTTCTGAAGTAGTGAATTTAATCTGGTACTAGAATTGTGCCAAATCCCCTTTTTGCCTGAGTAAAGACTGTGCCCATTTTCTTTTATTAAATGGCAAAAAACTTAGTTAATGCACAATTAAGGTTGCCCAGTGGTAGCTCCTGTTCTTCCAGAATGTCAATTTCAACAAAACTCAAATTTGTGAAAACCAGGAAATACAGAGTTAAGGTACACAGCTATGTAACCTTACCTCTGCCTCCCTGGAGCTGGCAATAGCCACTGGGAATTATTTGCATACACTCCAGCTGCCTTCACTGTGTTAGGTGTAGCTTTATTGAATGGTGGAGGAATAAGCAGAACTGTGATTATCATCTGCGGGGAGGGCTGTAGCCTAGGAGTCAAGGGATGAGCTCTCCCTGACCCTCTGTGTGTGTGTGATCAAATGAAAGAACTGCATGTGTGCCTTGGGAGATCCAGTATGCTTCATTTCATCACTGTGTTGTACAGGCTGTGTCATTCACAAGGCACAGGGGTTTTCCTGCCCGGGGGATTGTCAGCAGTTAGGTGGGAGATGAATGTGGGTTATGAGTTTAAGGAAGGCTAAGTGAAAGTAGAGTGTTTGATGGTACTGTGTGCAGAAAGGTGAAGGGTTCGTAATAAGGTTGAAGGAGTTGTAAAATGTAGTAGATGCACTATTCTTACTGTGGAGTAAGCTAAGTGTGAGAGTTTAAGGAGCTCTTGTTCAATACAGGGCAAAAGCAGAGAGAGTATGCACGGTTATGGGCACCACTCAAAAAGGGCATTGTTAGGTTGCATGGGTGTGTACCTTAATTCTGTTTTTCCTGGTTTTCACAGGTTTCAGTTTTGCTGAAATTGAGATTCTGGAAAGGCACAAGCTATATCCAGGCCACCTTAAATCTGCATTAACAAAGTTGTTGCCATTTAATTTTCTAATGTTTCTAGCAGAAAAAAAAAAGTTGGTGGTAGACATTAGGGGTCATTGAGGCAGTTGTAATTAGCATGTACACCTCTACCCCAATATAATGCGACCCGATATAACACGAATTTGGATATAACGCGGTAAAGCAGCGCTCCAGGGGTGCGGGGCTGCGCACTCCGGCGGATCAAAGCAACTTCAATATAACGCGGTTTCACCTATAACGCGGTAAGAGTTTTTGGCTCCCGAGGACAGCGTTATATCGGAGTAGAGCTGTATGTGTTTAGTTCAGATGCTCCTGTGAATGGGTATTTGATAACTAGTTTTTACATAGCACTTTTCATCAGTAGATCTCAAGAAGGGAAATACCATTATTCTCCCTTACAGATAGGGAAACTGAAGCACAGAGAGATGAAGTGACTTGGCCAAAGTGACCCCGCACTCCAGTGGCAGAGCTGAGAATAGAGCCCAGGTTTTCTGAGTCCGAGTCTACTGTTCGCTCCACTAAGCCACTCCATTGCTATGTGATTTCAAAGTGCTCTCCTCCCCCCGTACTCTTTTTTGCAGTGGGAAGAGGATAATGGTTGTGCCTTGAAATGTCTGCAGTGTTTAGTTGCTAACAGAGTTGGTGAGAGAAATCTCAGACAGTCTGTGTCCCCAAAACTTGACAATTTTATTACAAGGGCGGTTACAGTAACTTAAAGCATTCAAAAGAAGACTGGTGTTCTCTCACCTCACCCCATCTCCCAACTATTCCCTACAACATATAGCCCCCGCCCACCATCACCACCTCACCCTCCCCTTCCCATCCCATTAAGACATTATCATTTTAGAAGCATGGTGTGAAACAAAAAAATAAAAACACTGGTAGATGCTAAATTTTCATAAGCTTTCCCCCCCCCACCCATGGGTCTGTATCTCAGAAACTTCTTGCTCAAATAACCCCAAATTTGGCTCACTAATCCTAACTCCCACTCCCATTAAGCACAGCAAATTTCAAGACAATCTGAGTACCCATACAGATATTTGAATTTAGAAAAATCATCCTTTAAACAGAAATATTTTCTCAATCTCAATTGTAGAAGAGTTGGTCTTCCTCTGTAATACAGCATGAAATTAATCATCAGCAACTGCTTTGCCATATCCAGATCCCCAACAATCCTGAAAGCATAGCAGGCTCTGAGAGGTGTGAAGCGGCCCATTCATCTCAGTGTGATTGTCTCAACTGAATGAGAACACCCCATGGAAATAAATACAGCCTAAAACAATAGGTCTGACACAGAGGTTCTCAAACTATGGGAGTATGCCTCCCTATGGAGCAGGGCCGGCTCTAGGTTTTTTGCCACCCCAAGAAAAAAAAAAAAAACCTACCGGGAGTGCAACTGCCGAAGGAAAAAAAAAAAAAAGGTAAGTCCAGAATGCCGCCCCTGAAATTGTGCCGCCCCAAGCACGTGCTTGGTTTGCTGGTGCTATGGAGATGCCAGTTGCCTGTCTTTTGGCCCGGGGTATAGTGCTGCTGGAGCAGTCTGGACCATTGCTCTGGCACCTGCACTCTGACTCTTCAGAAATAAAAATCTGCACAAACTTGCACTCCGGCCCCTCTCCCATCAATGTTCACACGTGACTGATGCCTGCTGCACTAGATACCCTGTGCCCCTGCTGTTTGAAACGCTGTACTGTAGTCCAGCCCCTCTATTGAGAAAGGAACTGTTCACCCAACATGGCCCTATATACCCTTGCTATGAGGGGCACAAGGATAGATAGGGTGCATGCACAAACTGAATGGGCAGGGCTACTGAAAGTCTCCGATCAAAGGCACATGAGCACCTGAAGTGGAGCACCTATAGGGCCAATACTCGAAGGTGAACCCATTGTTCAAATGGCCCCAATTTTGGATCAGTAACCAAACCCCACTCCCGCAAGACGGGCATCAAATTTCAAAGCAATCCAAGTAACCATGGTGATTTGAGAGCATTTACTGCTACGCTTTAAACAGAAATCTGATTTCAACCTTAACTACAGTGGAGCTAGCACTCTGCTATCATTTACTCAGACCCTCTTAAAATTTTTTGGTGTACACGACACACAAACTTAAAAAGAGTGTACATACAAACCATAACAGAAGTCGTCACTGGATTTCAGAAGGCGGCACTATTTCAACATGCAATATACAATCACATTTTGTTAATTCTTACTTGTTGTGGGAAACATGTCCGTACGGAATGTTCTGTGTATCCAAAAGAAGGCCCTTCAAATACAGCTGTTGGAAGTTTTAAAACTTCTCTCAAAAACTGATCAAACTTTGTAAATATCATCAATCCATTGGAATCTGACATTTGGGAGAAAATATCTATAAGAAGAACAAAATAAAGTAAAACCTTAGAGTAAATATAAGTTTACTGAAAAATGTATTATGTTTTCCACCAAAAAGGTTTTTTTTAGTTATGCCATCTATTTCTACTTATTTACCATGAACATCAATTTTATATTACTTCTTTCCAAGTTACAATATAAAACTGAACATGAATGCACTTCATTTATTATATATCCTCCAGGTTCTCTCCCCACATTCCTATACAATATATTTTTCCAATGTACTAAAAATCTCAAAGCCTAATATGTTGAAGACAAGACAGGTCAATTTGGGATGTGTGGAGTGTAGTAGAAAGAGAGCCTGAAGCATGGGCCTGGGGAAAGGCCTGAGGCCTGAACCAAAGTCAGCAAAACTTATGTTATGAGCAACAATTAGGCCCTGTCAAAAGCAGATGCTTGGCTGCAAGTCAGTGTGCAGTACATGAACTCGGCATCAGTATTGCTAGCATTGCTAAAACACACTGAATATGTAAACACATTCCAGCAGGCCAGCACAAGAACACCCCAACCTCGCACACAATAAGATGGTTTGACAAAAGTGATGAGTTGGCAGAGCCATTGGCCATTATCGTTGAAAACTCGTGGCGATCGGGGAGGTCCCGGACAATTGGAAAAAGGCAAATATAGTGCTCATCTTTAAAAAAGGGAAGAAGGAGAATCCGGGGAACTACAGACTGGTCAGCCTCACTTCTGTCTCTGGAAAAATCAGGAGAGGAAGGTGACCAGGAACAGTCAACATGGATTCACCAAGGGCAAGTGATGCCTGACCAACCTGATTGCCTT